CCCAACGCGCTTTACAATCATATGAGGGGATCTCTCTTCAACCACCACGCTATTACAAGAGAAAGGTATTTATAATCACAACATATGTTGGACGTGATCCATATGTTATGAAGAGGAGCGATTTTTAAACTAAATTGAAATACTTGCCTGCCATTGAGGCGGTGGATATAGGCTAAGCAACTATTTCGAAAGTGAATCCTGTATTTATATGAGGGATGTGGAATATGTCACTCCTGAAACTTTGCTGCATGTAAGTTACAGGGTATGTGACTGTTGGTCCTGTTAGCAGCACGTAAAACAACTTTTATTTAAATTCTGAATCGATTATAGCCTGGAAAGTGAGCAAATAGCACTTTCATATAACGCTAATCACTAAAAAGCTGTCACTCACTTCAATTTATCGCAATCTCACGATTCCGTGATATGAAGCTCTCAGAACTGCAAATAATATCTTATTTACATCGTGTCTATGTGTGGCGTTTAGCATTCAGTTAATTCTGACTGTGTCACCCTGTATCTATTTATATATTTCTTTATTAATATCTTAATATATTATTATATCTTATATTAATCATTTGCACACACGAGCATTATCCGGCTCCGCTCCTCCCGACCGCAGACGCAGGTTTACAAGCCACTTTTTCCTGCATTTTTCAGTCAATTTCTTGACTTTTTCACCCTTATGAACAACACATTTTCATAATTCATAATTTTATAATGTCTGTCATGACAGCTTTCGGAGAGTTTAGCATGGTAATATGCATGGCAATGTTAATGTGTTTAGTCTTGGCGGAATAGATCTGCTACACTGCTGCTGCGGTAGAGCAAGTACCGAGACATGCAACTGCCAATACATCAACAGACATGCTGCTGTGAGCATGTAATAAATACTGCTGCTGCACATATAACATGAAATAACCCCCATATATAATATACATGAAATCACTCTGTAGCAGATCTATACAGGTGGAGCTGGGGAAGGTGGAGGGATTCTAAAATACTAGCTAGCACTAGCACTACTAGCACTAATACTAGGACTAGCTGAGTATTTGAATGTTGAGCAGCAAGCTCATTGGCTGCTGATATGAAAAGAAACCAATCAACTGCTCCATGTGAATATGTGTGTGCAAATGGTTAATATAAGATATAAGATATAATAATATATTAAGATATTAATAAAGATATAAATCTAGCTGAGTATTTGAATGTTGAGCAGCAAGCTCATTGGCTGCTGATATGAAAAGAAACCAATCAACTGCTCCATGTGAATAATGATGTCATTATATCAGGTTGAGTTAGAAATTATAGGCCAGCACCATCTAGAGTTTTGTGACAGAACTTTGGATGTATGTTGTCTTTGGATGCATGTAAACTTGCTTTTACTGATGCAAGGCCACTGGTCAGTTTGAAGTCTTATAATAGAGTAATGTGGCCACAGATCCTCTTAATTGTTCCAGTTTGTTTTGTTTTCATTCATCTCAACTGTGATGCTCTTCATCTTGTTTTACAGAACACTTCAGACAGTTGGACCCTCTCATGCCAGGACCTACACAGTGGCAGTGTATTTTAAAGGTGAACGGATTGGCTGTGGAAAAGGACCAAGGTACTAATACACCCAGATATTTACCCTCATTGCCACATCGCTGCATATCCGCTTTTATAAATGTCTGTCAAAAACAGTTTCTGTATGTCACACTCTCAGAACTTGCTATCCAGGTCTAGAGTTATGCCACCTAAAAGCTCTCTTGAACATTAATCTATGTTTCTGTCCTGACATTTTTATCATTTGGTGGTTTCCTATTTCTGTGTTGCTCTGTGTAGCAGGCAGCACTTTCTATTCACTGAGCCTTTATCTTACATATTGAGTTTGGATTTTGTTTGTATGTTAGTAGGGATGCTCTGATACCGATACTGGTATCGGTATCGGACCCGATACTGAGCTCCTGTACTCGTACTCGTACTTGTTAAAATGCCCCGATACCAAACGCCGATACCATGCAGCATGTGTTAAGTGCCATATGCAGACAAAGAAACACCGACAACAGAACAACAGACAGCAGAATGGAGTTATTAGAGATTAAGGATGTCTACAAAGTATATGTATGCAATGAATATAATGTTAAACATTCAGTATTGACTGTATAGCTGATGTGCGCGAGCTAATAAGCAAAGCACGCTGAGTGGATTGAGCGCGCGGCAGCGCAGATGCGCGAGCTTGTTGAGTGAATATACCTTTCTCACAGATATCACTGAAAAGTTTGTAGTTCGGTCGGATACGTCAAAAACAAGTAAAACAATGCACAAGTTACTTAACGGTAGGGAGAGAGCGAGAGAGAGGGAGAGAGAGAGAGCACAATTCTGTTGTGTGATCTTTGATGTTCACTCACTTAGCACACGCATCATTTGGATTAAAACTAAATCGTAAAAAATAAGACCGTTTATAGGGGCTAACGGTAGGGAGAGAGAGAGAGAGAGAGAGAGAGAGCGAGAGAGAGCACACGCACTTCTGTTGTGTGATATTTGATGTTCACTCACTTAGCACACGCATCATTTGGATTAAAACTAAATCGTAAAAAATAAGACCGTTTATAGGGGCATTCACTATAAACATTTATTTTTAACCTTAGGCATACACGACTTTCTGGCGAAGATGAATCTAGCAGCCTGTGTGAAATGCGCTAGGCTGTAGGCTACTATTCTGTATCAGTACAAATACATGCATGTGTTGCGCGTGTTTTGCTTGCTTGAGTGTTTCTGCATTATCAGGTTTGCATGAACCTGGTTGACAGAATGCCCAGGAGACTACAGGCTGTCATTAAGGCTAAGGGTTGCATGACTAAGTATTGATAGTTGTGTTAATACTGTCATACAGCTGTCTGATTTTTGGTTGATTGTAATCCATTACATACCTTTCTATCAAAGTTATCTAACATTATCAAGCTGAATTTGTTCTGACACAGTTTAACTCTGAGTTCTTGTTATATTTTATTACCGTTTTCTAAACTATAGCGAATAAACTGTGATAATGTGAGAAATGTTGAAGGTGTCTGAATACATTTTGGTTTGACTGTATCTATTTGATAAATGATGTTAACCAACTAACATTATACATACTCTTTTGGTTTCTGTACCCAATATTTAAAAAATTTACAAATGCAATAAAAATATTGGTATCGGTACTCGGTATCGGCAAGTACCAAAAATAAAAGTATCGGTATCAGGCGAGTACTGGAAAAAGTGGTATCGGTGCATCCCTATATGTTAGTGATCTGCCATGTCATGTTAATTAAATTTCATGGCATGTTTATAATAGTTCTCAGTAGCTCACTGATTATGTTAACTAATAGTAATGGAACAAAGGGAATGAAAGCTAGATTGTGTATTACAGTTGTTTTTTGCATGGATGACGCACAGAAGCATATGTTCAGTATTATATGCAATGTTGCTTCCCTGAAATGTTTTGTTTCATTGCCTTTGCAAGAGACCTGAAAAAATATGAAGTGTCTGGAAATATTGTCTGAAATTTAAGTTACTCAGTATGAGCTAACTGTTGTTTAAACTGTTGTATAAAAGCAATATCACACCAGCAAATTGTGATATCATCCTAAAAATGGAAAACCTGTATAAAAACCTAGTTTAAGGTTATCATTAAACCCAAATGTATTTGTAGGATGTTTACCTGTTTTTCAGTTATTCAGTTATATTAACACATTTAAGAGTGTTTTGTTTTCATGTTAATATGTTAAGCTTATGTGTTTAGTTATGTTAATGCATTGAAAAATGTTTGGCCACCCATGAATTTGAATTTTAAACATGGCCATTGAGACAGATGTTGATCAAGAGCCCTGCTGCAGGTTCATTGTGTCATATGTACTTTATTTAATCATTTCATTAGAATGATAAAGATCCATTGTTTGAGTTGCTTAACATGTACAAATTATAATTTTATCCTGACAGTATTCAGCAAGCTGAGATGGGTGCAGCCATGGATGCGCTGGAGAAATGTAAGTGACTTTGTTGCATTTTTCACCAAAAAATGGAAATGGTTTTAGAATAAATATTTTCACACGTTATGGGAATAAGGTGTTTATTACAGTGCAGGTTTTTTTTTTGGTTTGTTGAAGCAGCTATTATAATGATAAAGGTTATGAAAGTCTTGGTTTTCTATTTTACATGTTCTTTCCCTCTTGTCTTCTGCAGATAACTTTCCTCAGATGGCTCATCAGAAACGCTTCATTGAAAGGAAGTACCGACAAGAACTGAAGGAGATGAGAAGAGAGCGGGAGCGACAGGAGAGAGATAGTGATGAAGGGTAGAAAAGCAGAAAGTGAAGGAAAAAAGCAGGTTGTTACATGAAGTGAGTCGTACAACAGCAAGCTTAGGAAAGCAAGAATCTTTTTGTTTTGTTTTGTTTTGTTTTGTATATGAATATGTGTATAAATCTGTTTGTTAATCCAATTCATACCGTTGGTATGTTTTAAAAAGAGAAAAGCTTTGCGTGAAATAAATCAAACCATCAAAATGTTTATTGTGTGCATCATTTGGTCAAACCACAGAGCACATAATTTGGTCAAACAGTCTTTTGTACAGTGATCATAATCTAATAGCATTTGATTGTGAAAAATGACTGTTACATACAAGGCATATGAGCCACAACTAATTTCATTCACATTTAAAGGGTTAGTTCACCCAAAATGAAAATTAGCCCATAAATTACTCACCCTCAAGTCATCCTAGGTGTATATGACTTTCTTCTTTCAGACGAATCCAGTCGGAGTTATATTAAAAATGGTCTTTGATCTTTCAAGCTGTTTAATGCCACTCAGCGGGTGTTGCACGCATCAGTCCAAAAGAAGTTAAATAAAAAGTGCCCATCCATAAAAAAAAGTGTCTCACACGGCTCTGGGGGGTGAACAACGGCCTCCTGTAGCAAATCGATGCATTTTTGTAAGAAAAATATCCATATTCAATGTTTTCAAATTACTTTATAAGTTATCTAATGAAGAAATATGAAGGTGAGTACCTCACCTTCAGCATTAATTATTTCACCCGCATCGGACAGAGACTGAGACGGCGCCGCTGCATGTCGTGCCAAACCTCTCATGGCAGCGTCATCAGCTTGAGATCGTTTTTTTGAGATCGGCAATATTTAGAGACCGCTGATCAATCATCCCAACGTGATTATCGGCCGATAGTGATCGGTAGCCGATCAATCGGAGCACCCCTAGCAAAAACATTATTTATAAATGATCCATTTAAAATCGCCTTACATAATCTATTAATCAAACATGACGCTGAAAAATAAAAATGTCATATACATGAGATGTGCTTGCCTTGCATTATGATCATTGTTCATTAAACTTATTTCAATTACTTTTAAGTGCAACGCAAGTGCATTTTCTACTGTGACAACTGTAGCCTGTATTACTGTAACATCAGTTTAGATTTACCATATTAGATAAAAAAAAATTAATTAACTTTTTCAACCTGATCAGAAAATGTAAATATTTGTAATAAAATAAAATAAAAAATATTGTTACTACCAGTGTCCTAGGAATGTTTTAAAATGATTTGTATTATTTATTAGAAGTAGTGACCATACAAAGTCATCTTCTGAGTATGTACATCTTACTTAGCCAGCTACTTCTTACTTAACCATGAAGGGGGAAAAAAATACTAGATATTAGATATTATCTAAATATTAGATAATTTGACCTTTTATGATAGGTCAAGTTTAGTTCAGGTTGTAAAATGTGATGTGGTGTGACTCCCCAAAAATGCATAGTATAACTGCAAAACATTTTCTGATGTGCACACTCAAGATATATATGGTTACGTCACATAATCTGTTTGGAGCAAAATGTAAACTGGGAAAGGTAAAATGGAATAAATGTTTTTTGTAACCAACATGAATACAAATAGTTTATTTCTAATAATGTGGCACATGTGTTTTAAACTTGCTTTTTAAAATATTTCTTCTTCTTTTTTTTTTTTTTATTAATCATGGACCAGTTTATCTGTCTGTGTGTTCTCTACCTCAGCCACAGAAACATCATGTTAATGACATGTTGCTTTGGGTGCAGGTGCATGTCACAAGTGAAGCGTGCAGAGGCCAGAGAGTTGCGGTACAATGGAGCTTTGCTCTTCTTTAGTTAGAATCAGGTATGTGTTCCTCTGTAATCAGCTTCAGGTCAATCAGAGACTGTAATTTATCATGTTATGAAATCTCTGAACAGGTCGGTTGTTACTGGGAGGGTTCACTGTTTTGGAAGACTTTTTCCCTCTGTATGATATCGGTGCTAATGTTTGTTTCCTAAACAAAAAAACAGTGCTGCAGATGAATTAGTAAGTAATAGCCCTCAGTTGCGGTAGTTAACTAATCAATGTGTTTTCATGCCTCTGAGAACTACTTTAATTATACGTTTCATAATTACAGAAAGAAACTGCAGTTTCATAATTAATGTGAATTATATATATATATATATATATATATATAATGCATAATTTCTAGACACTCTACAATTCTAAAATGAAGATCATGGTAGCCCACTAGTAATAACTCAAGTATTGCCAATACTAATTATTTGGAACAGTGTTTTAAAGTGAATAGCATGATAACTCCCTAGTAATTGCTGGAGTCATTGTAAAATGTTGAGGTTTGTAAGATAGCAATTCTTTCTAATGGTGGTGTAATTTAATAGACTACCTATTGATTATGTAAGTGATAAACTGTTTAAGTAATGGTTCAAATTTTATTTTACCCTGCTTTTTATAGATTAATTTCACATTAACGATGAAACTGTATTTAGTTTCTTAGTAATTCTCTGGGAGGTATGGAAAAATACTAGTTACTGATTATCTAATAGTGAATTATAGCATTCAACTGAGTGCTACTTAATAATTTGTTAATTTTCTTGTTAGTTAATAGAAGTTACTAGAATATAAATATTGTTACGCATTTGCTCCTGTGTAGTTATTTATTAATGATGAAACAGTCTAATTTGTAATTTGTGAGATGACTGAACACCTGAGAAGAGATGATGCAAACCCCTCGGAGGACCTCAGATTGTTTTTAGTTATTTTCTTTCAGTAAGGTAGACACATCTGTGCTGCATGTTTGGAAGAAACTCCCATTTTGCTGTAAGACACAACTGCTGCCACTGAGGCCATGGTGGCACAATGCAAAAAAAAAAAAAGGTCCTATCTACAGTATCCAATCACCAGTTTTTGTTAATGATGAAGTGTCAGACTAAACAAGTCAAATATTGAGTGCCACAGGGCTCAGTATTAGGCCCTGTAATTCTCTCCTTGCGCTGTATATGCTTCCCTTCGGGGACATTATCAGGAACCATGGCATTAGTTTCTGCTATTATGCAGATGGTACTCCGCTTTATATTTCCCCCATCTTGACTTGCCAAGTTAGCAGAGTGTATTTGTGATATCAAAGACTGGATGACTAGAAATGTCCTTTTCTACTCTGACAAAACAGATGTATTAGTTATTGGATCAAAAACCTGAGACGATGCAATATAATCTGTCTGGATGGAATTAATGTTATTCTGTCTTCTACATTTAAGAAACTGGGTGTTATGTTTGATAGCAATCTGTGCTTTGCCAATCATATTTCCAGTGTTTGCAGAATAGCCTTTTTCCGCCTTGCTACGCTAAGACACTTGCGGTCTCTTTCTGATGCTGAAAAACTTATTAATGTGGTCATATTCAAAACTAGATTACTATAATGTGCTACTGGAAGTCTTGATGGTTTACAATGCAGCAGAGTGCTTAAGAAATGTGATCATATCAGCCCATTTTATCATCTACTTCATTGGCTGTTAGTCAGGTTTTGTATCAGTATCAAAATTCTGCTCACTGCACACAAAACTTTGAATGGACTCACATGACCTTCTATAATCCATCCTATTCACTACGGTCACAAAATCCCAGCCTGCATAGTTCCTAGAATATCAAAATCCACACAAGAAGGTAGATCCTTTTCCTATTTGGCTACTAAATTATTTAGTCAAAAGCTTGGAGTCAGTTCATAAGGTTGGCTACATGTTCGATTTACAGTAAGCCCAGCTGTGCTCCAGATAAGCCAACAATGTGTTTTAATGTAAAAGCTTTTTTTATTAAATATTTAGAGCAAATGTGAAAAATTGTTAAATTCTTGTAAAATGAATGAATGAATTCACCCGGCTATTGTGAAAACATGACAGCTTTCACTCTTCTTTTGTCTCCCATATAGGGGAACTATGCTGATTTCAGTCAGAATGAGATTCCCAGCGGAACATAAACCCATTCAAACTCCACCAGAGGGCACAAAATCCATTCCAAATTCAAAGAGCTTTATTGCAGTGTTTCTCAACCTTTCCTGTCCCAATGTGTTTTCTGTCTAAAAAAATAACTGGGTAAATAATAATTTATATTATTTATTATAATATATAATTTACATTATTTTTATATATTATTATTTATTGATATAATTTATATGAATAAACATTTTCCAAATAGAACAAAAAATGATTTTATGACATGATTAAAGGTGCTCTTTAGAAGATTTCTAGGGATAAAAATGAATGAAAATCCAACTCTCATGAGATTTTTTATAAATCCATACAGATACAGTTTTTATAAAGAGAAAAAAACACCCAACCACCAGTGGGGCTAAAGCTGATTGTACGAAAATGTAGGAATGAGGTCCGAATTCATACGAATTTGCCACCAATCCACAAAAACGTAAAATAGTTACAAACTGCCATGAGTGTGTTGGAATTTCAACAAACCTGTCTTTTTATTCTACCCCATTCACAACAATAAGAATGTAAAGATGATTTACAATTTAAGCTGTCTGTCTTTTTTTTATTGCAGAACAAGAATACCCCAGGTATACAGGTATGTGTACTGTGCCCAAACAAAACAATGTTCCTCTGCAAGTAACCTACAGTTACCATAGTGTACCTTTAAATTTCACAAAATACTTTTTGTTCTTTAGTTTTGAGAAAAGTATCTACTGGTGCAGCAGAAAACGCTGTTTGGTAGGAAGAGACTTATGCTGCATAGAAACCTTGATGAGTGTACAGTAGGTTTGTGCCCTTGTTCTTCTGCTGGCTGAGGTCTGTCCTCTGTTCTTCACTGTATGTGGGCTAATATTTTTAGCTGTGCCCTATTTCTGATGGTTACGTTATAGTTGCTTTCTGTGATTAGACAAAACCCTGATAAAAATTACTCAGGCTAAATTTACCACCACAAGAAACAGCGAGAAACTTTTCTTTTACCAGTGGATGGAGTATGTGTCTTGGCACTGGCAGACTGAAATATCTTAGATCTTTTTACCAACAATTCACATCAGTCTGAATGAGTGAACTTAAACTGAATAGAATAGCCTAAATAACGTATAGCTGGATAAAATAAATGCATACATATTCATACCTCTTTTGTGCCTTTTCAGAATTGCATGCCTGTAAACTATTTTAAAAAACACTTCTCTATTAGTAGAGAGTCCCAAGATTGTTGACTTGCAGTAAAACCACTTTATATTTGAAGATCTACATGACAACTGTACTAATCGTCTACATGGGCCATTGGTGTCTGGACACTTGATGAAGTGGCTATATTTATTATTATTATTTTAATTCTCTTTTTAAGGCTCTTTATTTATTGTTGTAAAGTATGTAGACTCATGTCAACATAAGTTGTTTTT